CCATAGACGAGAGTCTTAAGGGAACCTTCCCGACGCTCCAGCCTTGCCAGGATTGAAGCAGCGACCCCATAAAGACCAAGCGCCGCGCCACTTCCCTGCCGGCGCTGCCGCATCATACTCCGGTTGTTTAGACCCGAACTCTGGGAGCCTCAGGTGCGCACGCGTTCAGCAAAGAAATGACCTGCGCGTGCGTAAAGCAGGGAGGCTTTCATAGAGCTATATTAGTTCCACAGCATCAAGCGTTCAACTTGAGGAATTTCGAGATTACTTTTTTGTTTCTGAACTAAAGCAAAACGCCACGCACAGAAATGAATGGGGAATGCTCAATTTTACTGCAGCCATCACTCCACGTCCGTAAAAAATAAGGGTAAGCTTAAACTGAGTGAAAGACAATCCGTTCGGAGAAGCGTCCCGAGTTGTCCCACTTCTGCCTGCTGCAACTGAGGAATTCTGGGAGTTGAATTCTTAAAGTTACCAAGTTTGAGACCCCGATCTAAGGCTATCAGAACTGGTTATAAGAATCAAGTCCATAGATGGCACTAAAGAAAATAGAATAGAGCTGGAAGGGACTTGGAGGTCTTCTAGTCCAGCCCCCTGGCGAACCTATGGTACGGGTGGCAGAGCCGGCACTCGGAGCCCTCTTTTTGGGTACACGTGCGGTTGCTGCAGCCTTGCCTCCCCCGCGACCCCCTCCTCTCCAGAAGCCCCCCTGAAGGAGAGTAACCCTCAAGCGTGGCCCAAACAGCAGCGCAGCCAAGGACATGGCAGCCAGGCAGCATAGACAAGACTCTGCCCTCACACCCCATCATGCAGTTGATGCTGCAGGGGTGGGCAGAGAGTGTGGTCGCCATAGCGCTGATGGGCTGCCTGGGCAATCCGGCGGGCCCTGGAGATCGTGACTGGTCCTGTGGGCAGGCGGGGCAGGGGATGGGGGGGGCAGAGTGGGGGCGGGCAGGGGGGTGGAGTGGGGGCAGGGCCAGTTTTGGGGGGGTCCCTAAAAGGTTCGCCATCACTGACCTTATACCATCTCAGACAAGTGACTGTCTAGTCTCTTCTTAAAAACCTCCAGTGATGGAGCGCCCACAATTTCTGGAGGCAAGCTGTTCCACTAGTTAATTGTTCTCATTGTCAAGAAGTTTTTCCTTAATTCCAGGTTGCTTCTTTCTTTGATCAGTTTCCAACCATTGTTTCTAGTCCTTCCCTCTGGTGCTTTGGTGAATAACGTGATCCCCTCTTCTTTGTGGCAACCCCTCAACTGGAATACTGCTATCATGTCTCCCCTATTCTTCTCTTTAGACCAGCCAAACCCAGGTCCTGCAGTCATTCTTCGTATGTTTTAGTCTCCAGACCTTTGATCATCTTAGTTGCTCTTTGAATTTTTTTCAAACTGTCAACATCTTTTTTGTGATATGGTGACCAAAATTGGCTGCAGACTTAGCATGTTCTCTTTTCTGTATGCCTTGATTCCCATCTAGTGTCCTTCGGATATTTGCAACTCAGATCTGGTCCCCCTCAGTGGGAATGCAGCCATAAACATCACTGATGTTACCTAGTTTGGGGAATGAAACGTTTGCAAGAAAACAACCAAGCTCAGAGAGCACCAAGGACTTCTCATTTCCATCGTTAACTACAAGTATTCTCTGTTATCAAAATAACTCTGCAATACCTTAACTGAATTCACAATTTATAATGGGAGAATATGTTTAGACAACATTGCTACTCTGTCTTACTCCAGAGCCAGGATAAAAGATTGACCAGTCCCTCCCGCTTGCATACAAAGTTGCATACAAATAGGCCAAGTTTAAATACAAATTATGTCACCTTCAATAGCTGTAGAGATATAACTTGACTGGACTGCAGGGAGGGGGAGCTATAATCTATTTAACATTCTGTTCTGATTTTTTGACATGCAATGGCTGTTCAGACAACACACTCAACCACACTCAACCAGTTAAATACCTAGTGCCTTATTTTCACAACATACTAAGCTTGATTAGTGACCACCTTGATTAGGTGTTTGTTGTGGTTTAATGTAATGGTTTACAGTTCAAACCAGTAAATAGGCTGATTCAGCAACCAAGGTAAACATGTTGTATCAAATAGCCCTTCTTTTCCCCATAGCTGGTATTTGGTTTTTTTTAAAAAAAAAAAAAAAAAAAGAAGCAGAACAGAGCAGAATAAAAGTAGGCCAAGGAAGACATTTTAAAGATCAAGCAGCATGGCTGCTGGTAGCATCTTTTTGCCTGAAGAGATCTTATAGACTCAACAGCCTTGTGCAATTGGAAAAGAGCACCTGAAGATTCCTTTGTCCCAGATAGTTAGATTGGTCATATTATGCCACCACTTTGATCTATTCTTTTTCCTCATATATTCAACATAAAGGACATGAAATATGTGGGTGTCGCCCCCTGAAGATGCCCTAGATCAGGGGTAGGCAACTTTGGCTCTTTTATGACTCATGGACTTCAACTCCCAGAATTGGCTCAGGAATTCTGGGAGTTGAAGTCCACGAGTCATAAAAGAGCCAAGGTTGCCTACCCCTGCCCTCGATCTACCCAAATGGAGACAGCTTTGCCAATAAGTGGACCCTGTTATAGTGCGGGAATAATGTTAGGCAGAAGAATATTCAACATAAAGTTAAAAGTGCAGAGAATTACTAAGGCTGCAGCATAACTAAATCATTGTGACAGGCACACAATGCCAGCAAATCAGCAATTGATTTTGACTGAATGGCATGTAAATAAAATTTATGTCTGCTGGATTAGCACACACAACCAGCTATCAATAACAGGCAAAATAATAAGTAAAACCAACCTGAAGGAGCATCTGTGGAGGGAAGAGTAAGAAAAACTCAAGGTGGTGGCCATAATTGAAGCCCTGCTCCTTTTTGATGTTGGTTCTGTATGATGCACATAAAGTAGGTATACTTTGTGTTATAGTGACTACCAACTTGACTTTTTATATCCTGTATTTAATTTCATTTTAATAGATACTTGAAAACGCAATCAAAAAAGGAGCAGAAACATAAAATAGAAGAGCAGCTAAAAAAAATGGAAAAGAGATTTACCAACAATATATAAGTGAATTTAAAAATTCCAAATAATATTAGATTAGCACTGAATATGAAGATGAATTTATTTATACCAAATCAATCAAATCTTTATTACTATCACAGACTAGCATAATGATACGATATCAATTTGGCATTTTAAAGCCATTATTAAAATGATTTAATAATTAACAAAGAAAGCTAGCAAACTAATAATAATTGAGCAAGGCTGGCTTGGTCGCTCAACAGTGAGACACTGGTGAAGGGGGCACAGCAACGCCTGTATTTTCTGCATCAAATGAGAAAAGGACATCTTCCTTCCCCTGTCCTTACCACTTTCTACAGAGGGACGATCGAGAGCATCCTGTCATATTGCATTACAGTCTGGTTTGGAAGCATCACTGCTTCAGACAGGAAGACATTGCAGGGAGTGGTGAGGATGGCTGGAAAGATTATTGGCAGTTCCCTCCCTTCCATCCAGGACATAGCATAAAAGCGTTGCTTGAGCAAGGTCTGCAAGATTGTTTGGGACACTACACATCCTCTACACGATCTGTTTTCCTTGTTACCGTCTGGGATGAGGCTTCATGGTATCCGAAGCAGAACATCCAGATTCAGTCACAGTTTTGTTACATACAGTATTACCCTTGTGAACTCTAAAGCTTCCTCCTTCTATTAAGTATCCAAGTTGGACAGTCATTAATATTTATATGTTACTTATATATAAGGGTGTAGGTCTAGACCAGGGGTAGACAACCTTGGCTCTTTTATGACTTGTGAACTTCAACTCCCAGAAGTCCTGAACCAGTCATGTTGGCTCAGGAATTCTGGGAGTTGAAGTCCACAAGTCATAAAAGAGCCAAGGTTGCCTACCTCTGATCTAGACATACGTTGTATATAGTATGTTTAAATGTGTGTTATGGTTGCTTACACTTTGAGAGCAAGCAACTAAATTTCATTTTTAACATGTGCCTTTGTGCCCACAGTAAAAAATTACAATAAAGATCATCTTATCTAACTATCTACCTAGCTACCTACCTACCTATTAAAATTAACAATAAGAGTTACATTAAATTCCACATCAGACTATCATCTTTATTTTCTTAACCCATCCTGTGGATGCTCCTGCATTATGTATTAGGATTGAAAAGTGTGTCAGCAACTACCAAAAGAGTTTTCCAATGATATGAGCTAGGTGCCCCTGTAAACACTTGGAATCAAAGTTCCTTTTGCATATATTCCTGACTCTGAACATGCAAGTTGGCAGCATTGTGCCCAGCCTACCAGTTTCTGTAATACAGTCAGCAATGCCTTTGCTACTGCCAATCCAATAGCAGAGGGTCCCATTCCTTGACTTACCTCAAAGTCAGAAGGACTACTGAAAGTATGCAAAGGAAAGGAACAAATCATTCAGTGTAATGTGGAACCGTCCCTTGGACAGAATATATACATACAGTAGCCGTCTCCAACCATACACATGAGCCAACTCCCCTAATGGTCAGCAATGTTCAGCAAACTCAGACTAACACACCAAGTCAGGCAAGACTGATCTAGAGTATCAGGAGCTCCTGTATGATTAAAGTCCTATTTAAGGATAGAAAAACGTTTCTATGTAGTCAAAAGGCAGGTCCCATATATGCAGGACTGATAATGTCAATCCTTTTTATGAAGGAAAGGGGGATCTTAATGGATGTACATATTGTAAATGTAAATCTAAAGGAATTTAATTAATTGGTGTGGCTTTTCAGTTCAGTTTACCTTCATCACAATTTGTGAAGGACTGGGATCCTTTGGCCATTAAAGACAAATTATATGATGCAGTTTCAACCTTCAGAATATGATGAGGACTAAGAAAGGGTGTATAAATATCTACATATATTACGGTGAAGAGGACAAAGAAATCTGTTCTACAAGGTGAACATTCAAGGAAAGACTGTGGGGTTTGTTTGTCTCCAGTTTTCCAAGTATACATTGGTCAGTCAGCGATGTAGCTGGGGAGTTGCCTCTACAAGTGCCAAGGATTAGCACATGACTGAAAACGTGGTTGCCACTGCAGATTGCTTTCTGGAAATCCTCCCCTGAACAGAGGGCCATCAACTCCAGAAGCTCTCTTTTTGAAATTGGACAGAGAGGCTTTCCTTGTCACTTTTGATGGAGAAGTCTGAAATCTACCATAGTAAAAGAATTATCCAAAGGAAGCCTTAATATCATGTACAGAGGTTTGTCTAGAATTACTCGGATTATAGGAGAAGAAACTAAAAGAAGAGCAGCTGAGCTGTAAATGGTAGGGATATTTTCTTTGACTTCTCACTCTGATGGGTTTAGAAAATATAGAAACTAAGAAAGTTGTGGTCTGTGGGTGAAGGTGATATTGCTCCTAGAAGGATTCCAATGAAATTTCAGCAAAAACTTCCTACTGGTAATAGATTCAGACCACTGACCCAAACTATTATCAAAAGTTAGATATCCGTGGATATTGGTTTTCATTTTGTACAATGTAAAGAGGCAGTGAGACTTGCCTGCCCTAAGAATTGTGGTGCATATAACAAAGCATATGCTTTGGGTCATGTACTTTTGAGTATTCAAGAGTTAATATAAATAGAAAAGGTGGGATAGCTTGATAGAAAGATTATGAACAGATCTGGTCTCTGTGACTGTTGGAACCTCTTAGAAGGTACTTTCTTCAATTTCCATTCCTCATCTTACAATAAAACAGCATTTCCCAACCTTTTTGGCACCAAAAGACAATTTTTCCACGGACTGGGGGGATGGTTTCGGTTTCTCTCACTCGCCCACCGCTTTCCTCCAGCTGTGCAGGCCGGGGGTTGAGGATGCCTGCCATAAAATATTGAAAGACTACTATTTTCCTTCTTGGTAATATTTTTTTCTTATTATTTTGAAGTTTGTCGCATTTACTTTCAGTTTAGTTTATTCCAAGAACTGATTTCAGGGCCAGTGCTTCTTGTGAACCAAGGTTTCATAAATAGAAACATTTATATGGCGGGGGGATCTATAGAGAGCACAGTTTCCAAATATGTCTGCAGCTTGGGGCAAAGGGAACATGTGATTCACAAAACTGAATTTGGTCATCAACAAATTGTACAAAATTGAAAACATTACCTCCTTCTAGTACCTGATATATCTGTTATGCCTCATTCCTCTCCGAGATTCCTTTCTGGACATTTATACTCCCCGATCATTTATATTTTGGGCTGGCATTTAAATGTCCTAAATCATACATCTCAGGGGCTGCCACAAAGAAGAGGGAGTCAAGCTATTCTCCAAGGCGCCTGAAGGCAGGACGAGAAGCAACGGATGGAAACTAATCAAAGAGAGAAACAACCTAGAACTAAGGAGAAACTTCTTGACAGTTAGAACAATTAACCAATGGAACAACCTGCCTCCAGAAGTGGTGAATGCTCCAACACTGGAAGTTTTTAAGAAGAGACTGGACAGCCATTTGTCTAAATGGTGCAGGGTTTCTACCTAAGCAGGGGGTTGGACTAGATGACCTCCAAGGTACCTTCCAACTTTATTATTATTATTATTATTATGGATCATCGCATAGTCAGCCAGATGTTCAGACTGGATTTGGCATTTTGTCTACCTATCGAGTCCTTACCCAGGACCTGGGATAGGCAGATGTGGATGTTTGATGGTATTACAGGTATCGTCGCAGGATGGAAGCAGTTCCTAATAAGGCCGCCTTTTGCAATTGAATTATTATTATTATTATTATTTGCTCTATTTTATTAGCTCTATAGCAGAATTTCTTAGAATACTTAGGCATTACGTTTTGGCAACTAGCAGTAGCTGATGAGATCCCCAATTTTTTTTTTAATGTTTCCAAAACAAAGTAGCAAGGAGGGCAGAAGTTGTTTTGTTCCTCTTGATAGTTATGGAATAGCAGTTAACTGAACATTACGCTTTCAGCTTTTTTCCTCCCCAAACCTGTGACATCCAGAAGTTCTCAAAGTTCCTTAGTCTTAGTTTGTCATTACTTTCCTGAGTGTATGTTTTAGGGTACTTTTTTCTTCCTGTACCCCAAGATTGTATTAATCTCTCTATCCTTCCTTTTATTGCCTATTGCAGGAGATAAGTAGGAAGAAGGAAGGGCTATTCTTATCTTCTCCCCAGCTACATCCACATTTGATGTCTATTCCCTTTGGGCATTGATCTTCCAGGATTAAGCCAAGGAAAGAAGAAGTAAATCAGCCAAATGGCACGGAAATTGAGCATTGATCAACTTGAGGACCAATTGATATGCCCTATTTGCTTAGAGCTCTTCAAAGAGCCCTTGATGCTACAATGTGGACACTCTTACTGCAAGTCCTGTGTGGTGTCTCTCTCAGGTGATCTGGAGAAACAGTTCCTTTGCCCAGTATGCCGAAAGGCTGTGGACTATAGCAGATCACCACCCAATGTCAACTTGGCTCGCATCATTGAGGCAATTCATGCCATAGGCAACTCAGATGATAATCAAAACTCTTGCCCTGATCACCACAATCCCCTCAGCCTTTTCTGTGAGCAAGACCAGGAAGTGATTTGTGGCCTCTGTGGCACCATTGGCACCCATCAGCAGCATAAAGTCATGCCCATCTCCACGGTCTACAGCAGGATGAAGGCAGGTGCTTGGAATGTGTGTGCGTGTGTGTGTGTGTGTATATGTATGTATATATGTATGTATGTGACTGCGTGGATGAAGTGAGGCTTAGCCAGGGGTAGGCAACCTTGGCTCTTTTATGACTCGTGGACTTCAACTCCCAGAATTCCTGAGCCAGCATGGCTGGCTCAGGAATTCTGGGAGTTGAAGTCCACGAGTCATAAAAGAGCCAAGGTTGTCTATCTCTGGCTTAGACCATAGGCAGAATAGAGACAATTGGCCATTCTTGGTGGGCCACCTTGTGTCTGTTGATTGGTGGATCAGTGGTTCTTAACCTGGGCGATATTGCCCCCCAAGGGGTGATTTCATTTTTCAGGGGGGCGATGGAACAAAAAGGGACAACATGGGGGCAAAGGAGGCGATATGGGGACGATGGAGCGAGACGTTTTGGGGACACTTTTGAGACTTTTTCGTACAGTGAATGGCTGTATATCTGTCGTACAAAAACATCAGATCACTCGCTATTAGTGGATTGAATTGTGTTTTCAAATGTTCCTCCAGCTAGCTTCAGTACAGAATACCGTACATATGTAAATACGCATTGCTTATCTTCATGCGTGTTGTGCAGCAGCCTCTACTCATACAGTGGCGCGCCATTAGCCAGAATATGGGAGATATGGGGAAAAGACTGGAAATAAATTATTTGCATCGATTTTGTTTTAAAGAAAACAAAAAAAATGTTTGCATAAATTGAAGAATTATTTCCTATGTTGTGATTGAGAGGTTATGTTGGGGGAGGGGGGCGATGACAACTTCCTCATTGGCTCAAGGGGGCAATTCGTTCAAAAAGGTTAAGAACCACTGGATTAGATGAATCTTGGTGTGATTCAAACAATTTTTCACATACTTAAGCGAGAGCTCTTGGAATACATAAATTCTAGAAAAAATGGTGTAGCTATTATAAGGCAGAAATCTATACTTTCCTTAACAGAATTTTTGTAGCTCTCTTCCTACACCATATATCCCAAGTCCCTCTCTGTGTAGGTAATGCTTTGAAAGGATGGAAACTATGTAAGTCTAAGGATCACGGGTGATAGTACCCTGTTCTCAAGGACAGCAATAGAAAACAATGAATAACATTGTTACAATGGTGATTCACAGAAATATAAAAACTAGGTGCAGTACTCCCCGTGCCTATGAGTGCCTGATACTGAGTGAGATAAGAGATAAAATGTGAAGCACAAAATCATGCCCAGAAAAGGGAATATTTGAATGGTAGCATAGCCAAAGCTGATCCCACTAGCGAAATAATGTGAAAGTTGCAGATCCTGACCTTGACCTCAGGTGGTCTCACCTCCCCTTCCATGCTGAGCCAGCTATGAAGGAAGACATGAGTTTGCATAGCAGGCTGAACTGTGCTTATAGTTCAGCATATTTTAAGAATTCAGACACTGTCTTGCATGTTGTATAAATCAGACCAATCACATTAAGCCACAATTTGACTTTTTTGTTGGAGCATAACCTGTGGCACTTTGTGTTAACCCAGGTTTGAAGTTCAAAATGGCTTACAGTCTATTTGAGGGAACCACCTTTTCCTTAGTTCAACAGTTAAAAGCTGCAGGAGAAGGCCCTCTAAAGACACTCCTGGAGTCAGAAGACCATCCTTCTGGAACTCTTGATTCCAGGCTCCCAGGCTATAGCTCTTAGGCTATAAAACACTTTTCCTTAGCATAGTATTTGGCCATATTCTCAGAATTTAAACTATCCACAAAGATGCATTTCTTTTACCAGACTTTTAATCATTAAGCATACAACCTGTGACCAATTGGCTCATCATTTTAGGGATATTTCCCTACCTAAACAGAGAAACAGAATGACCATGGGCAAGCAAAAAAGTAATGGGAGCAGGAGCAACTTCCGACTTCCTCATTGTTTTTCCTTGCATGAAACTGACAGAGAGCAGTTGACATTACAATCATATGACCGTGGCTGACTGTGACAGTACAGCAGGGTAATAGCACTAAAGCAGCCACAATTTCAATTCCATGGGAGTCCTGGATTTTGGCCGCATTCTTTAAGTTACCCCATTTGAGATATGTTGATTCAAAAATTGTTGTCCTATCATATACTGTTTCATCCAATTGAAGGTCACAACAGGTAGTATATAGACTGCTTTTACATTTAATTTTATATTTTAATTAACAACTTTGAAAAATTGCTTGTCTAAGCACAAAATCAGGATGCAAATGAAATAATAAAATTATTACTCAGATTGTTTCAAGCCTAGATCCTACCACTAAAAATAAGTTCAAGGTCAGAACCGAATCACAAATTAAACTCTGCTCCAAAACTGTTATAATCTCCAGATGTTCCAAAGTTTGTGCTACGATCATCTTTAATCTACTTCCTTTCTTTTAAATGTAAACTAAAAAGAGAGAGAGAGAGCCACTGAGTCAGATTAAACACTCGCTTGCAGAATTCATATTCTATAATAAGGTATTATAGTTTCTTGGTAGAAAGTTTAGTTTTGCATATTTGAATATTGAATATACCTCAAGTCCTGCATATCCAGTTTGAAGGATCTGATGACCCTTGTCTGACTGAGTCTCTGGGGATTTGATAGTATTATTAATATAGATGACTCAAAATCTTAATGGAAGGTTACTTCATGTGATCTCTGGAATTTCTCTTTTTCATATCTGAATGTTTCCTAATAGCAATAGCACTTAGACTTATATACCACTTCACAGTGCTTTAGAGCCTTCTCAAAGCAGTTTACAGAATCAGCATATTGCCCTCAACAATCTAGGTCCTCATTTTATGGACCTTGGAAGGATGAAAGGCTGAGTCAACCTTGAGCTGGTGAGAATCGAATTGCCGAACTGCAGACAGCCGGCAGTCAGCAGAAGTAGCCTGCAGTACTGCATTCTGACCACTGCACCATCACGGTTCATCTAGCTACCATAATTGAGCAGTCACATTTCTTTTGGCCCTCCTTGTGAGCTTTAAGAAGCATTTGGTGCTCATCAATGAAAAAATACATTTTAAAATGGATAAGTAGTTTTGTTTCTCTTACATCCTTTCCCCACAAATTTAGCTAATGCAAATCTGCTTTTTTCAGGAGGAACTCTCCATGTTGATAACAGATGTGCAACAGCAGAAGAGAAGCCTTGATGAACATGTCAACAAATTGATGAATAACAAAACTCGAATTATGGTGAGCTTAGACAGGCAGATGACATTAATGCCAGTGACTTTCTTGTCTGCCTTTCTTTTCATCCAACTTGTACATATGACTGTCAGTATAGTATGTTTTGTTGTTGTTGTTATTATTGTTCATTCGTGACTTTTTCCTAGATTGGTCTGGACAATTGTCTGGCCAAGTCCCTGCAGTTATCTTGGCAAGGATTTTCAATAGTGGATTGCCATTCCTTTCTTCCTAGGGCTAAGAGAAAGCGAATGGTACAAAGTCACCCAGCTGGCTTTGTGCCCAAGCAGCATTAGAACTCACGGTCTCCCAGTTTCTAGTCTGATGCCTTAACCATCATGCCAAACTGATTCATAATACGATTTTTACAATAAATAAGCATGTTTAGACATATTTTACAATTGATTTTAATTTTCTAGTGATTATCTGCTGTATATTCTTGAGTGTTTGGGGCTGAGTAAGGTGCCTTTGGCAGTTGTCATGTTTACCTCAATTAAGAGGGATGAATCTCCCTAAAGTTTCAAATGTGAAATTACCTGACATTTTTCTGTTGCTACATTTCTTAGACTACAGTCCCCAATCTTTCCAGCTCTGCGGACTGGTGGTGCTAGCGGGGTGTGTGTGTGTGTGTGTGTGTGTGTGTGTGTGGATATGGTTTTGAGCATTTGCATGCCACTTGCACAAATATAGTTTCACATGCTCACACACTCACCCACCACTTGCAAGGCCTGGTTCCCAATGGACCACAGCCTGGTACCAGGCCACAACACGGAGGGTGGGGAACCCTAACTTAGACAGTAGCCAATTTGTTATAGTGGGTAAGACATCAGGCTAGAAACTGGGAGACAGGGAGTTCTAGTTTAGTCTTAAGTACAAAGCCACATGTGTGACCTTAGCTAGTCATGCTTTCTTAGCTTAGGAAGTAGGTAATGGCAAACCTCTTCTGAAATTTTACCAATAAAATTGTAGGGATTTGTTTAAGCAATCACCAGGAATCAAGATTGATTCAAAGATACCAAAAAACCCCATCCCCCACTGTTGCTTAACTGTTCATTTTAGATTTTTGACACAAAGCACCCTGAATCCCCAAACAAATCAAGGTGAAATGACTCTGTATGTACATCCAGCTCTTTATAAATTTTGAAAATTATCCTCCGATTCCAAACATTTCCGGGGGGGGGGGGAGAGAATCCCTAAATCTTTGTGGAATATGATTCAATACATATTGTCTTTCTTCTTTAGTTCCTACACTCAGCTAAATCTCAGAGCTCAATATTGAATCACAGGGAAGAACTAAATATAATTGTTAGTTTTTCTGAGGAAGTCCAAGTCAAGAGGATATGCTTAAAATGCTATAATAATTTCAAACCAATTAAGTAATAGGAAAAGCCAAAGCTTTCAGGTGAAAAAAGGAATAATCTAGTTTAGTAAATTGACCAGCAACTTTTCCAACAGAATTCTAGAAAGTCATAGACTTAACAGAAAATACCTCCCAGGAAATTAGCTCACAATAAAGCCAACCTTGGAGTTCTTTTCAAAGCGCCTGACATTTATTGTCAATATTGATTTTGTTGGATTACTGGCAATAGATGTTTTTCCGCTCCTAATCTTCCTCTTGAGGACATTAGGTCATAGCTGAAAAATTCTAAATAAGTGCACCACCAACCACTACAGACATAGAATGCCCAATCAGGGAGTTGCTTTACTTGTCACAAACACTCTCTGGAAACGGCCATCTGAATTATATCACATAATGGAGAGGATCCCAGCAGCAATTTTGTACAATCAAATAGCTACATATTACACTTCACCCAACAGGCAATATTTGGAAATGATTAAGTGCCCTCACATAATTTCAAGAAATTCTGATAAGTAATCTGTATTACAGTAAAGAAGCCAATATTTAGAAACTCTATATTTAGAAACAATACTCAAATCTTTTTGCATGTTTCTTGTTCCCATCTCTATGAAACTGATTACTTAGTAATGGTTTCTGTCTCTTTTTTTTTGCTTATAGTCAGATGCACCTTATAGTCAGTGTTGCCTTTCACTGGTGAAAGAGAATGCCTTATTACAGGCAGTCCCTAATGGACCCCTTCCAAAGTTGGAACAACCCAGTTCCAAAGTTGCAACAGCTGATCTCCCCCCACAGTCACATGACCAGGTGCTTAACAAGCAGCCTGCATTTATGGCCATTTGCAGCGTTTTACATTTTACAATGTTTTTTTCTGAAACCTGGATTTTACTTCCGGTTTTTGGCAAAAATGGCCCATAGCAAACGATGGGTTCAATTTATGACCATTGCATTCACTTTATGACTGCAACATTCATTTTACAATTGCGGCATTTGCTTAATGATCACTGCAAAAAAGTTCATAAAATTGGTTCAGCCACATGGGTGAACAAATTTACGACTGTCATGGGCTGGCTCCATTATAGTTAGAAGTTGAGGACTACCTCAATGTACATGCAATCTCTCTGTCTCTCTCATTCTTTTCTATCATCAGTTACTCATCGTTAATTTGGCAGGCAACTCCAGATTCATAGACTGAAGACACATTACATCAAGCTGTGACTAATTTAATAATTGTTTCTTTAATAAATCACTGTTTGCATAATTCACCATAAATGTGTTAAAAATAATAGTTCTCAAAATATGCTAGGTCAAAAATTAATCAGCCACACTGCAGTATTTGAACTCAGTAACAGAGTATTCAGAAATAGGAAAACACTAAGGTTCTGTTCACATCCAAACTTTTCTGGCCAAAAGATTAGCTCATTGGTCCTTGTGTCCCTTCTTAATGGAAACTGTGTAGCATAAGCTAAACAGTTTAGGCTGCATGGAAAAAGGAGCACAAATTATTCTTGTAAGGAATTACAAATCCAATCTAATCCCATAATCCAGCGGTTCTCAACCTGTGGGTTGTGACCCCATTTGGGGTCGAACGACCATTTCACGGGGTCACCAAACAACGCAGTCCGCCATTTTTCCCCCCTTTTCCTTAGCTGTGCTACTCCCTTTTATTCTATTGGCTTTTGAAAGCCAATAGAATAGACTCTCTTGAATAGAGTCTAATTCTATTGGCTTTCAAAAGCCAATAGGAATTGTCCAGGCTGTCTCTGCCCTGCTGAGCCCGCCAAAAGCCCCAGTCTGCAAATGGTGCTGCAAGTTGTCTGCAGCGAAGGCAAGCTGTCTGGAAGCTTCCACCCCTCCCTGCTGAGCAACTACTAAAAATGTTAAGTAAAAGAGGGCTAGGGGTGGGAGGTGGGAGGCCGGCGGGGCAGGGAGGGTTGCTGGCACGCGTGGGGCCCGGCGGGTGCCTTACCTCCCTTGGGCTGGGCCAGCTGGTGGCCCAGCCGGTGGTCGGCCTGCGCCGTCTCTGCCGCTTGCCAGCTACGCCTCGTCCGGCACCGGGGGCAGCACCACGCATGCACGGCGCTCCCGGGCAGGGAAAGTCCTCGACTTATGACTGGTTGGGTAGTCCTCGACTTACGACCGGTTGGGTAGTCCTCGACTTACGACCGGTTGGGGGTCGCGGCATTAAAAAGGTTGAGAACCACTGCCATAATCTAATTAAAAATTGTTGAGGGGAGGAGGAATACTGGAGAGTAACAGGTATGTAAAGAGGGAAATAATACTATATCAAATTTGTTAGTGTGCAATCTATTCAAGCAAACTGAACTTATTTCAAGATCAATGTCTCTCATGGTGGAGAGACATGGACAACTGACAAAAAGATTTTGTCATATTTCTGCCAGTTACTGATAGCTGCAAAGCAATGGACTCCTGAACTAAGATTGCAGGCAGGAGTGGCTGACAGCATTAGAGTTTACATTGAGATGATCATCAGATTTCTCACATTTTAGTATTATACCCACTTCTACCCCACATGAGCCCAACCCCAATTCAGAATTATATTGCTCTGGTGATAATTGTTATATTTTGTCCCACACAGAATGAATCTGATGTCTTCATGTGGGTAGTCAGAAAGCAGTTCCAGGATCTGCATAGGTATATTGATGAAGAGAAAGCCAAATTCCTGGGGCAGGTAGAAAGGAAAACAACTCGTATCATTGCCTCCATTGAGGTTCAGGTGAGGCAGAGAGCAGACACCCTTCAGAAGCTAAAGGAGCTGGAAGACTCTCTGGAGAAATTCAACAATGAAGACCAGCTGGATTTCATACGTGTACGTTTGTCTATCTGCTTGCTATAAATAACCAGGGACATGCTAAGATGTGCTGCCAGCAGCAGAAAATCAAAATTGTTAAAGAGCCCTACTCAGAAGTAACAAGCAGACCAAAAGAGGCATACTGGAATCTGAAGAACTTAGAGATGTTTAGCAAATTGCATCTATTGAGTCCAAATTTGCTTCGCAGTTTGTTGAAGCTTAAAAGCCTAGGGCCCTAGGCATATGGAAGAATCTTGCCTATTAGGAGAATAAATCTTTGGATGATTGAACTACAATATAGGTAGTCCTTGACTTACAACAGTTCATTTAGTGATCATTCGAAGTTACAACAGCACTGTAAAAAGTGACATATGACCATTTTTCATATTTATGACCATTGCATGATCACGTGATCAAAATTCAGACGCTTGGCAACTGACCCATATTTATGATGGTTGCAGTGTCACAGGGTCATGTGATCACCTTTTGTGACCTTCTGACATGCAAAGTCAATGGGAAGCCACATTCACTTCAAAACCACTTTAGTAATTTAACAGCTGCAGTGATTCATTTAACAACTGTGGCAAGAAATGTGATAAAAAGGGACAAAATGCACTTAACAAATGTGTCACTTAGCAACAGAAATTTGGGGCTCAATTGTGGTTGTAAGTCAAGGACTACCTGCTCCCCATACTATGAAGGGCCAGGAGCCCTAGTAGCAGAGCAATGATGCAGAGTAGGCAGCCTTACATCACACAGATCACACAGATTAAGGATAGGATTTCTCATTTTTCTCAGGCTTGGTGCAAGAATTTGGAGGGTTTATTTTTTTATACTTTATATGAACCCTATTTAAGTTTTTATATATTTCCTTCTTTAAAATAGCAGAGAACTCTACTGTCTGCTTTGTGCAATTATGGTTAGTTATAATTAATATTAAAAAGGGAGGTTTTCCACCTTTGATCTAAGAGTAGGCCTAATTCCATATAGTCATGAAAGGTTGAGGTACTTCTTTACAGCCTAGATTTTGAAGAATACATGCCAATAAAGGCTTGTAGTTCTATTGCAGTTAAGGAATATATACAAGAATTCCAAAGTTTACAGGAGTAAATATGGATTCCAATTGCTCAGAGAACTCAATAGTCCTATTCATTTTCTCCCATCTTCCTCCCCTCTATACAATCTTCAGTATACATTTAATTAACACAAGTGCACTAAATCTGTCTACATCTCTTTACAGAAATATGGATCTCTTCCCTCCAGGTATGTAAAATAAGAGTGTATGAAAGAGAAACAAAACACTGTAATTCTAGTCTCTCTCCTATGGATCTTGGAAGGCATTTCAGAAAATGCCTTCACAGAAAAAGTGTCAAGGAAGAGTTGATCAGATACATTTGTTAGCTTTTTTGAAATTCTTATTAAGAAACATGGTAACAGAATCCATCTTTTTTCAAAGCAAAATATGTGTACAATATTCCACATTGTCAGCAAAGAACACTGAGACATGTCTCAGCAATTCCAATGTGCTGAAGCATATTTACTCAAAAGTAAACTGTGCCATGCTCACCAAAATTTAATGACAAATATGCAATGGATTGCAAGCTCCTGCAAAGTTGATGCTATGAAATCATAAAAAATTGAAGAAGTCTTAATGGTATTCATTTCCAGCCCTGAACTCCTTCATTTCAGAGTATTTGGCTTCCAATCAAAGAATGATTTTTAGGCTTCAAGAATGAAGAGATGTTTCCCAGATCTTCTAAATGAGATTCTTGAGATGTGTGCTTTCAATCTTCAAAATTATATGCTCTGCCACTGAACCAAGGTTCTGGTAGATATATACATCCTGCAGAAGAATAAAGTAACTGCTTTTATATTCTGAGTTCTTGCTCAGAATTTTCAGTCCCATCAATTAATAGGACAAGATAGGAATTGAATATTTTAAAAGCAGATTTATGAAGTGTTTGAGTTTGGGAAAATATTAATGGAAATTAATACATATCCAGGTCTGAACTTCCCTATCAGCACCCAGCCGAAGGCATATACAGTGCAGTTTCTTTTAAGCCTGACTTCCACCAAGAGGATGTAAAGATGATGGTGTGGAAGCGTCTGCTACGTAAAATCCTCCCAGGTATGGCTGCTGCTGGAGGAGAGGAAGGGGGAGGCTGTTTCATGAGCACTTCCTCATACAGCACTTAAACATTTGTGAATATATGTCTTTATCATGCATTATTTCTTTTCAGAGATCAGAGCTGAGAGGAATGGGGTTGAGACTGTAAAGCTAGCAAATGGCAATGGATTTTGAGAGTGCTATCTGTGTTTCCTGAGTTCTGCAATCACATTTTGACTATTATGAAAAACTGAGGCCCATTCATAGAATTCTATTCTATTGAATAGAATTCTATTCTATTGAATAGAACTCTATTCTATTCTATCGAGGCCTAGTCTATTCTATTCATATAAAGAAGGAGGCTTGATCACCTCAGCTGATTTTTCTGAATATTACCCACGGTTCCTCGAAGAATTTTGATTTTTATCCCTTCTCATAGCTCCAGAAACGCTGAAGCTGGATCCTGTGAGTGCTCATCCTATGCTTGAGCTGTCCAAGGAGAATACTATGGTGAAATATGGACTATTCTTCCAACGGCGAGACAGCAATCCTGACCGCTTTGACTACAGCAATTGTATCCTGGCTAATAAGGGCTTCTCCTGGGGAAAGCACTACTGGGAGATTATTGTGGGCTCCAAGAGTCACTGGCGCCTGGGCATCATCAAGGGCACAGTCAACCGCAAAGGCAAACTGATTAAGAGCCCAGAAAATGGGGTCTGGCTCATTGGCTTAAAAGAGGGCAAAGTATATGAGGCCTTCAATACCAGCAGACTGGTTTTGCCGATTTCAGCCCGACCCCAACAAATTGGAGTCTACCTGCACTATGAGAAGGGAGAACTAACCTTCTACAATGCTGACAGCCCAGATGAGCTGATACCAATCTATACTTTCCAAGCAGAATTCCAAGGCAAGCTATACCCCATTTTGGACATGTGTTGGCATGAGCGGGGTATCCATAACAACTTACCCATTATACTACCTACTCCCCAAATGCTGCAGACTGAGGCTGACTGCACCAATACTGATGAGCCCACCAAGTTATAATACGATATAATATGCTACTATTGTGTCAAGTTACTGGGAAAGCTCCAGACTGTCTTTATGGGAGCAATAAATGCAAACTAAACTGTTTCTCTGAATAGAACTCATTCAATTTAAAGAATTCTAGAGACCTGCCTCAGGACTCTGTTTTGTTTTTAGTGCTGAGTATATAAGGGTATTTTGCTTTAAGGGTCCAAATCAAGCCTACATATAAAGCAACAGAGTGAACTCCATGCCAAAGTGTGGAATCTCAGTGACATCTATACTTCCCCACTAGTTAACTACTAACTAGAGGATAGTTTAGTCCAAAATTACAGGAGCTCACCTGAAAGGAACACTATCTTTCCATTGTTTTCAGTGGGTTTTTGCACAACTTCCTTGTGATGTATTGTTTGTGCCTATGGAGGAATTCAACTGGCATTCTAGGAAATGATGCTCAGAATCTATTGCTTGGAACAAACATCTGACTTTGCCTCTAGGCTGCTTCTGGGAAGCCTGCCAGGCAATCTATTTCAAAGGCCAAATTTTTTCCTTCTTTCTGCTTTTCAGTCTTCTTTTTTCCTCTATTGTTACCCATTTTAGCAAGTTTTACAAATCTGAAAGGCTAGTTCTATTTAATGTTATTTAAATCAAAATGCCCAAATTAATATTTTATATTCTAAACTTTCATGCAAGAGTATAATGAATGCAGTAAGTAAATATTTCATCAAGATTGTAAAAAATGGCAAACCAGCACAAATAACGCTATCGTAATGCAAGTATAGCCTAAAAGGTTGAGCAATTCATTAATTTCTATCTGTACATATTAATGCATTAAATTTGCTTACTTGGAGGATTTTTTTCAGTTGCAGCACCGGCTTATCATGTCTCACTTCTTCTCTTTGCTATTGGTGGTTTCTATTTGCTTTTAGTGGCTTAAAAGCCAATACTGTTTTTTAATCTTTTATACTGAATAAAGTGATTTTACAATCTTTTTACTGTAGAGCTATACTTTCATATTTTGCAATGCAAAATTAGAAGTTATAGAATTTTATTACAAGTTGTTTTAAGGCCCTCGTCCGCATTTTCTAGATTATGAGCATAATACACTTCCATCATGCTACTCCCTTTCAAGGTAAGAAAGTGCAGAATAGGTGCAAGACTGTAAGCAAAATAAATTAAAAATATTAGGTAACAAAAAGGGTAAGTTTAGCTAAACCTACTTTATAGCAACTAATTTTCCCTTTATGCATATTTATTTGGAAATTACAGAATTTTCCCAAAATTCATCTCTGGATGTTCCATTACATTTATTCAATGACATGCAACTATCACCAAAAATTCCCGCTTTCAGACATACCCACAGCAACTTTTGTGTGTGTGTTCCTTTGAGTCAGTTTTAGACTCCTGGTGACTGCTTGACCAGTCTCTACAATTTTCTTAGCAAGGTTTCAAAAGTGGTTTGCCAATGCTTCCTTCTTAGGGCTGAGAGTATGTAGCGGGTCCAAGGTCACCTTGCTGATTTTGTGCTTTAGGTAGGACTAGTAATCATAGTCTTCTGGTTTCTAGCCTGGGGCCTTAACTATATACTATACCACAGTGACTCTCCACAACAATCTAAATATCAATTCATGCTTTCTGTAATATCAGTTCTTAGAGTATACTATTCCTAATAGAGTTACAAAGGATCAACCAGCTCTATCCCCTCTCAAATTGCTGTTTCCCACACAAAAAAGTTCTCTAACTCACCTGGCCCACTTTATTTTGTGCTACAAAGCAGAAAAAGAGAAAGAAGCCATGTTGATTATGAAGAAGAAAGGCTTGAAATCCATTTGAAACAATATATTAGCCTCACTGAAGCTGAGAATACAAAACACAACCTTTGGAGTTTGAAAACCCTCTTCAAGGTTATTTTCAAAAGCACAAGAAAGCAAAGACAAGCAAGACAGAATATATGCCATGTCAAGAGACAGAAGTTACACTGGCTGCATTCCCAACCCTCTTAATATGGCTGTGCCACAAACAACTAAGTTTGTGTTTCGCATGTTGCACCTTAGATGTGTAACTGACCTGCTTAAGAGCATTTTGCATGCACAATCATTAAACTACATATCCGATATCAAAAAGATTAAACGAGTATTATGACGAATACGGCCCATTATATTTTTCTCCTCCTCTTCCCTGGAGTTTACAACATGATATGTAGCCCTCAGCTCTTCATTATTCACGTAGTTTCATGTTGCAGTTTTCTGTTCATATTTCAACACATTAAATTCTCCAGATGTCAATCTGACTGGAATAGGAGATTAAACAGGATGTTTACATAAGAAGAAGCCAGGTTTGACAGTTAAGTGCTGCAAAGTCCCGGTTTGCAGGATACTCCAGGGCCTTCCAATTAAGTCCTCAAAGTAAAAGCAAGCGGCTACGCAGCTGCGCTTCTAAGACTGAGCCGGTGGGTGGCCTGACATCTCGACTATTATCCGCGTTCGATTGGTCGAGGGCAAAGATTCGGAGGGACGCCTTCCTATTTGTTCTGGCGGGAAAGGGGCAGACATCAGGGAGACCATTGCTCCGACTGCCCCTTCGGAAAGCCAATGGAGATGAGGCGAAGCGGCGAGCGATACTGGCAGGATAATGGAGTCGATCTGCGAGGAGAAGGCACCGGGGTGGGAAATATCGGGGTGAGCCGAAGGAAAAAGTTTCTCGGTGTCCTCCGGCCCCTTTTTTCACGGCTGACTCCCCCCTCGCAATTCCCGCGTTCCGATGGAGCTGCGAAGGAAGGGTGGCCCTCGACAGTGGCTTATGCGGACTGGTTCTGCTTTGACGGGGATGGAGCCCAAGTGGTTTTGGAAAATGGATCCCGATAGCTCTCGGTGTTGCTTCGTGTCAGGGTACCATAACAGTATACAAGCTGGCCTTGAAGAGTTTTTTTGTTTTTTTGTTTTTGTGGCCCAAATCTGGTAGATTTATCTCAAAGTCACATCATTTTGCGGGTACTCCAGGGATTGAATACTAGGACCTTCTGATGTTTTGCCCGCCCTTCTTTGCCCTAAATTATTTTGTTTATCTCACATCACATATCTATGGACATATAATATTGGTTTCTTCAGAATACATGGGTTTTCACATATTAAAATGTAGTTTGCTCAAAAATCTAGAGTTCCCACATTTGATAACCAATATTTACAAACCGTAGTTAATGGACTCTTTGCCTCCTAAGCAAGAACTAATGACATTAAAGCTAACATGAGTAGGCCAGTGTTTCTCCCTCCTTTGCCCAAATTCAAGTGAATGTGCTTTATATCAAAAAGTATATGTGAACTGTTTCAGTCAACCTTTTGGTTATGTGTCTTGATAATTTTAAATATAGTTTTATTGTAATTTACTATTTAAGCCAAATGCAAAATATACAGTATAGCAATGATAGAATTAAAATTTTACATGATTGGCTCAGTAGATAGAATGAATTACCACAAATTAGAGATTAAATTAATAGGAATTTAACTGAAACACTCTGAATGCAGTCTGTTTCTTCAATCAAAAGGGTTATAAACCTCAATCTTGATTAAAGAAAATAGGGATTATATAGTAAAAAATATACTAAACAATCAGTTGTTTGATTCTGATATTTTATGTACCTTCAAAACAGCTTACCCAAAGTAAAACATTTAGCGAATATTTTATTAAGTTCACTTTAATGGTAAGTGCATTTGATAAAAGGCTAACAGTCGTGCAAAGCTCTTTCAGGATGGGTTTGGTTTTGCAAAAGAGATTAACATTATGCTTAGCATATTCTTATGTTCATTGTTCCAAGTCCTACCAGTGGTTGGGTCAACGTATGCAGGATATTACTGGTGACAGAGGAGTGTTGAAAGAAATAATCCGAGATGGCTCTGGTGAGACAGTCCCTCCTGATTCATCAGTATTAGGTAATGTAGTTGCATTGATTTGTTTGTGGCTTTAGGATCTATTGAATATTGATATTATATTATGTCTATTTTTCCTTATTTAATTAAGAGCTAGTGAAGGATAATTAAAAGATCAGATTTTTAATTAGCAAATGAATCATGTTTTTAAATTAATATTTGTACCATATGTTCTGAAAAATTAGGCAAATGATCATTAATTAAGAGGTTCTTAAGTCTGCACTGTGCTTTAGATTCATAGGTAAAAAAATGCCAGAATACTCACATAGCACTTGTGTAACAGTACAGGTAAGCTAAAGCATATGCGCCCCAAATCTTCCTAGAAACCTAGGCAAGATACCTGATTCAGTCATGTCCTTGATGTAATAGTTTGGAAGTTACTGCTACTATCACCTTTCTCGTGGCATCCTTCCCCTAACTGTGTGTGTGTGTGTGTGTGTGTGTGTGTGTGTGTGTGAACAAGAGAGAGATATGAGGGATTCCCATAATTATTTTTTGACAAAAAGGAAAAAAATAGAAATATTGAACCACCTCCTGTCCCTTTTGAACAGATAGTCCTCAACTTATAGTTTATTTAGAGACTGTTTGAAGTTACAATAGCACTGAAAACAGTGACATGGCCGTTTTCCACACAACCTTTGTAGTATTCCCATGTTCACGTGATCAAAATTCCGATGCTTGGCAACTAACTCATATTTATGATGGTTACAAGGTTCCAGGGATGTCTGATCACCCTTTCTGACAAGCAAAGTCAATGGAAAAGCCAAATTCATTTAAACGTATTTTTAACTACTGCAGAGATTCACTTAACAATTGTGGCAAGAAAGATAATAAAATAGGGCAAAATGTATTTAACAAATGTTTTGCAGAAATTTTGGGCTCAGTTGTGGTCATAAGTTGAGGACTATCTGTATTGAGGTAAATAGAGCATCAGCCCCCTTTCCCTCCTCCATTTGGGAAATAACTTGAGATAATTAAAATCAAACTTTATTTCAAAAAAAGGGGGGGGGGATGTAAAATTCCCTTTTTAATTGGATTTAATTTTATTCAGTGGCAAATAGAGAACTGTTAGAATCACAGAAAGCAATTTAAAAGGATGTCCCGTTGAAAAAATAAAAAGTGTAAGACTTTGGGAAATCTGCAAAATGCAGGCCTGTCTCTTGTAAAGTGAGCTCCAAGTTTCATAAAACAAGAGCTTGGATAGAAAAATAAATACCAAAGACAATATTTAAATAACAACAGATAATCTTTAAATTCTAAAATTTTCTGATAAAATTGGATTCCTTAAGCAATCTTGCAGAGGAAGTCTTTGACTTATGACCACAATTGAGGCCAGGCTTCCACTGCTAAGTGAGGCAGTTGTTAAGTGAGTTTTGCCCCATTTTATCAACTTTTTGCCACAGTTGTTAAGCAAATTGTTGCAGCTGTTAAGTGAATCATGCAGTCATTAAGCAAATCTGGCTTCCCTCATGGCTTGTCAGAAGCCAGCTGGAAAGGTTACAAATGGTGAGCACATGATCCTGGGACATTACAATGGTCATAAATGCATGCCAGTTACCAAGCGCCCGAATTTTATTCATGTGACTGTGGGGATGCTGCAGCTGTCATAAGTATGAAAAATGGTCATAAGTCACTTTTTGCAGTGCCGTTGTAATTTTGAACGATCACTAAATAAACTGTTATAAGTCGAGGACTACCTATATTTGTACAGGGATATTAGATTATCTATAGGCATTAAATTACATAAAACCAAAGCTCACATTAAGAATTTGAGATTTGTTTTTTACTACTGAAGATTTCTGGTCAATATATACCATAAAAGCTATAGAAATAAGTATAAAATATAAAGATGGAATCTAAAACATGGGTCCCCAACCTGTGGGCCACAGCCTAGTGGGGCACTAGGCCGTGTGAGTGGCTGGCCGGTGTGTGTGTGTATGTGCGCACAGCTCCACTCACGCAAGCAGCATTGTGGATGTTCATAGCCACACTCACGTGGGCAATCAGGGCCCCACTTGCATGAGTTTCATGGGCGGTCACAGCCCCACTTCTGTGGGTGTCGCAAGCATTTGTAGCCCCACTCACACGAGCGTTGCCGGTGTTCACAGCCTCATGCGAGTACCCATGGCCCCACTCGCGTGAGCAATGGGGGTTTGTGTGTGCCTGTGTGTGGACATGCGTTCACCACCCCCAAAACCACTGATATTGAGGAATGTCAAAAAAAGCTTATTGAATTGATGTAAGTGTAGTTGCAATTGGTTATTGAATGTGATAATAATACAGTAATTATATTTGACAAGGAAAACTGAATGAGTGTTCCAATTCATATTGTCTGATCCCAAAACTATAATAAATATATGACCAAAAACTATAATATGAATTTATGTACCTTGGTAAAATGTTTAATAAAGGAAGAAAAATGGATGAAGAATTTTAAAAAATACAAATGCTCATAGGATGGTGCTGATTAGTGTATGGTCCATTAGGAGGAATCTATATGTGGAATAAAGTAAAACTGACAGTATATACATGTTTCTGCTTATATGCATATATGGAAATAAGCACATATGGAGGAACAAAAGATGAGTGTAATGGGAATGGAATACTTATGAAATGTGTGTAGAAAAAGCTGCAGATGTGAGGTTAAGAATAAATGGGCACTGAATGAATGAATGAAATACAAAATAGAGTGGCAGGTACTTTGAAGTGGATTGGTCATATAAAGAGAGTCAAAGAGGTTGAAATCAAAAAAAAGGGGAAGATCAAGAAAGTTGCGGTTGGATAGAGTTGATGAGATTAACAAAAAGGAAGGTGTCAAGTTTAAAGAACAAAACATAGTGTGTGTGGATATGGTAGAAGCAAGGTTGTTTGCAAGAATATCAAGTTTTGGAGAAGTATAATGAGTGTTAGTATGAAAAGCATTTTTCCCTTTTTTATTTCCTTAAGTTCTTTGTCTTTCTTTTAATATTTCTTATTCCACTTCTGCATTTAACATAACACCATATTCTGTATTCCAAAAGGGAAAAGTGTAATGGATAATGTGTTCTGTGATTAAGGAATGCCATGCATCAACAAACTTCAAAGAAAACTATTCCTAAGCAAATTTATGCTGATGAAATTAAATATGTTCAATGTTTCTCAGTGAAATTTATTTTGTTTCCTCTTATTCTGATTTTTTCAGTGAAATTTTCAGGATATTTGGAACACACGGACAGACCCTTTGACACAAATTGGTTCAAGAAAAACACCAAACTCATGAAACTTGGTGAAGGTGAGTGAAAGATACATGACTTAGTGGATATAAATATAATTTGAGTTTAATCTAATCAGTAAATGCTTACATAGATATCTGATCTCGTGCATTGTAACTCTTTGTTTTCATCATATTCTCCATTGTCATTTGAATTATTTTCTGTCACTCATTTTCTGTTTTGCTTTCCTAGACATTACTCTAAGGGGTATGGAAGTGGGATTACTCACAATGAGAAAAGGAGAGTTGGCAAGATTTCTTTTCCAACCGAATTATGCTTTTGGAACTTTGGGTTGCCCTCCTTTGATTCCCCCCAACGCCACAGTCTTGTTTGAAGTTGAGCTTTTGGACTTTTTGGACTCGGCAGAATCAGACAGGTTCTTTGACCTGCCTCCTGTGAGTAGACAAATTTATACCTAATAGCCTGTATTAGTACCATTCAGTTACATCTTCTGAAATAAGTTAGAGGTTTTGATCTATAATTTATATAGCAATGGTCCTTGTGAAACTATTTTTTTACAAGTAAGCCGCTCAACCGTCACCTCAAACCATGAAATGGGCAGCATGTAAATTAAATAAAATTAAAATGTTGCCACTGAGGAGCTATTGAAGTTGGAGATTGCTCTCTGCCATGACTATAGGAAAAGTGAAAGCATTAGAATTGGAGATAGCAGTTGACGGGCCAAAATAATTAAAGACAAGGCAACTTTCCCTGCTTTTGACCTGTGGTAAAAATCAACTACCTTGTTGGTCTTACATTCAATCTAAGAATGGATGGATCTTGGCAATTTTCTTTTCATGCATATTTAGTGCTTTCATGTTTGATCTTAAGTTCTTTCCATATTGTTTATGAAGAAAAATGTTGATTTTGATAACACTAAGAAAAATGAACCAAACAAAATTATCCCCTATTTCTAGCCAGGATACAAAAACGCCAGTCGGTCTTTCATACACAGTGTCAAATCTTGTGGGTTTTTTCCCATTTAGCTCTATGGAATATAGCTGGAGGAGAATAGACTAAAGGGAAATAAATAATAAATCACAGATAATCCTTGATGCTTGTTAGTTTTGCTGCTGCTGTTGAGTGATCAAACTTTTCAGTTTATGGAACTGCCCCAAATGGGCATTTATAGTTACTCCTTGGGTTACAAATACTCATTCAGTGACCATTCAAATTACAACAGCGCTGAACAAAGGGGACTTACGATCAGACTTTAAAGTTGCAGCCATCATGGTGTTGCATGTTAGCAATCCAGGCACTTGGCATCCAACTTGCTACTACAATGGATGCAGCGTTTTACAGTCACATTATCACTATTTGCAACCTTTCCTGCTGGGTTCACGTAAAAAAAATCAAGGAGGAAGGCAGCAGGAAGTTCCAAGTTTCTCTGGCTTTTTTCTCCCAAGGAGCTCCCAGATGGAATGAGGATCTCATACTCTGTAGCACCCACCCACACTCTGGCCTGTTTGTCTGGAATGCAGTTTCAGTGCCTGTTCCTATGTCACGGTCATATGAGGTCCTCAGAACCCATATGGTCCTTGCTTAATGACCGCAGGGGAGACTGCCAAGATGGTTGTCATTAAGCAATGCAATCGCGTGATGTCTTTGACTACATGCTTAGCAAGGATAGGAAGCAAGCCATTTCTGTAGGCCATCTCTCCTTTGCCTTTCCCTCTACCCCTTCAGAGCAGATCGATTGGAGAAGAGATTTCAAGAGAGTAAGCTGTATGCTCTTCTAGACATCAAGAGCAATGCAGTTGCGCCAGCAGCAGGAAAGGGTCAGGCAAAGGAGAGATGGCTTACAAAACTTGCTTTTTTCTCCCCATTCGCCTTGTAAAGTGGACGGATTGGAGAGGAAGAGATTTAAAGAGCATAGTTTAAGTTACGTAGCATGCCTGTGGCTCTCGGCCCTGGACTGTGGCATGATCACATTGCTTTCCATGTGTGCAAGACAGTAAGTAGGTACTTGAGCATTCCAAAAGATGGAGGACTGGTCAAAGATGTGAAAGTGAGTAGTTTTGTCTCTTTCCAGCTGGAAAGTACAGAAGCAGTCACATGATTTTCCACTTAGTGACATTTCGCTTAGCAACAGAGTTGCCAGTCCCAATTAGGTTCATTAAGTGAGTCTACCTGTATCTAGTGGTATAACTCTGAAACCCCAGAAAAAAGTAGGACATGGTTTTTCGGACTTCTGTAAGGACAAGTCTTCCTAATTTCTGCAGCATTAGAAAAATGAAACCAAATTCCCATGTGATTCCAGTGTTTTCCCCATTACAGTTGTTCTAAGTCTAAGATGACTATTAGCAATTAAGCTGCCTTTTTATATCCTGTTTGTAGGAGACAAAATCGCATACGCTTACTTATACATTTTTTACTTCAGCTGATATGATATCTTCATATCAGTCATGATTAAATTTACATTCTGACTTATAAATGTCAAACAACAGAAAGGCAAATCAATGCAAGTCAAATGAGTTAAATCAGTTAGCAATGACACGTTAACAAAAAAGGATACATTTTTGCATTTTTCTAAATGCTTGAAGAGTGGGCCAAATATATCTTGCTTGGTAGAGAGCATTCCATATTTTGGACAAGACCCTCTCCTACCAGCATGTCCACAATATCACTGAGGTTCTGATAACGGAAAATAATTAAAATGGTCCCTAAAAATTGGGCAGATTTGTAGTAGGAGAGGCAGTCTTGAGCCATTTACGGCTTTAGAGAACTAACTTGTGTAGGTTTCCAGTATAACAGTTCTAGCTTAAACTTATAACTTTTGGGACTAGTTTCTCTAACTATATTGTTGCTTCTCTGCATAGGAGCAGCAGGATAGATTTCCACTGGAGAAAATTATAAAGGTAGCAGAAACAGAACGTGAATTTGGCAATTACCTCTTCCGTCAGACACGTTTCATGGATGCCAAGGAGAGATACAAGCGGGTAAGTAATATTCGTGGAATACGGGAATGAATCACAAATTACACCTAGAAATTTTAAATAGAAGTATATAGTATATCCTACACAAAAATCTTCTCTTCCTATTCATGCCAAAATGTGAAAATTTTTAAGCCTATGCAGTCCTAGGCTCCATCAACAGAGGGATTGCATCAAGATCACAAGAAGTGATAGTACCGCTCTACCCAACATAAGTGAGGCCACATTTGGAATACTGTGTTCTGGTTGCCATGATACAAAAAAGATACTGAGATTCTAGAAAGAGTGCAGAGAATAGCAACAAAGATGATAAGGGGTCTAGAGGCTAAACTGTATGATGAAACAGTTAAGGGAACTAGTTATGTCTAACCTAACAAAAAAAAAGGATTAGGAGTAACATGAAAGCTGTCTTCCAGTAGTTGAGGGGCAGTCACAGGGAGGAGGGGGTTGACTTATTATCCAAAGCACCTTTGGGTGGGACTTGAATCAATGGGTGGAAGCTTGTTAAAGAGAGATCCAATCTGGAACTAAGGAGAAGTTTCCTGACAATAAGAACAATTAAATAGTGGAACAGATTGCCTCCCAGAGTTATGGGTGCTCCATTGCTGAAGATCTTCAAGAAAAGATTGGACAGCGATTTGTCTAGGATACAATAAGGTCTCCTGCTTTGAGCTGAGGGGGATGGGTGGGTAAAAGACCTCCAAGGTTGCTTCTAGCCCTATGATTCTATATAAATAAGCTCTAGAAAATGCTGTTTTCTAGAAGTTATAATAAAAAACATCAGATTTTATATATGTTATCTTGCAGTTAGTATGGGTCTATCATAGTCTCTTAGAAATACAAAACTATGTGAAAAATTGATTGGAATCATCATTTATTAAATGATGACCAGAATCTGAAAAGAACGATTTTTGTTTGACCACTTGTGAATTTTCTAAAGTCTTTTTCCCGAAGTTAATAAGATTGGGGGACAGCTACACAGAAGAAACAAGAAAATTATCATTTAAAAGAGCCGGTGTGGTATAGAGTTAAGATGGTTGAAGAAACCCAGGCTCTAGTGCTAGTGTAGAAGTCCAGTGGGTGATTGGACCATTCATTCTTTCTCGGCCCAACCAACCTGAAGGAGTGGTCGTGAGGAAAAAATGTGGGGTCCTCTTGGAGTCCTTAATAGAAGGTAGGATAAAACCTTTAATAAATAATACATAAACATTTATTTGAATTGTCTCCCAAGTCAGCATCCATACAACCCAACACATATGGCAGTCAGTATAATTGTCTAACGGGAACATTTCTAGCAATTCTCTATCACAGATCTTTTTGCTGATGTAAGTGTATTTTGTTTCTATTCACCAGGCTTTTTCAGTACTCAATCGTACATGTGCCAAAGAGACTGGAAAAGACAAAGTTGATGCTGCCAGGCTTCTGGTCTTCCTGAACTTATCTTTTGTTTGCTTGAAGTTGGAACGTCCAGATCGAGCCCTAGTCTATGGCGAAAAAGCCTTAGAGCTAGATAAAAAGAATGCTAAAGCCCTTTTCAGATGTGGCCAGGTAAGGAGGTTGGTTCCCCCCCCCCATTTTGTATATCTGGCAGAATTCTGAGAGTTTTTTTAATGTCAGACTAGCTTTCCTTCCTGCTAGGAAATTGTTAGGGCAGGTTTGGGTAATGGAAACCAAGAACTAAGAGTGTATTAAAATGTTTCAGCTTCTTCCATCATCATCTTACATAATTACAATATGAAACACATAATTGGTGTTTCATATTGTAAATTGACTAAAGGCCATTGAAATTGGCACAACAGTCCTCATTTTAGGATGTGGGTGTGAAAAGTTTCCCAAGTTTATTCACCATGAGATACTTAGACAGTGTCAGTGAATGTCATCAATATATGAAGAGATTTAAAGTAAATAATTTTAACAATAAAACAATTTTATGAAGAATCTGCTTTATTCTTTACAGATTACATTCTAGTATGTGATGTCTAATTATTTCTGCTTTGCTTTTCTTATACAGAAATCGCACTTTGGAAATTATGTTAATATTTTTGCTTTTCTGTTTCTAATCTAGTGAACATCTGTTGACAGAAAGCCAAACAAAAGTAGTTAAGCAATGATTTAAATTACATATCTAATTCATAATTTATTAAAACAATTTTTAAATACAATTTCTGGGAATGCACAACCAGTTAAACCGTGACCTATGATTTACAAACCACAATAACTAGATTTACACAACATTAAACCCATCTTTTAAAAATGAGTACTAATGTGGACCCATGGATGCTTAGTGACTGCAGATCTCTGCTTTGCTTGTAAATATATCCAATTTGACATAAACAATGGTTTGCAGAAAGTTTTCTAGAGGTGAGAGGAAATAATCTCACCAATTTGACTTTGACAGATTGTTTTGCTATGTACTATTTTATGATAAGTTCCCCCTCCCCACACTGTATAGCCCTCATTCTTTATGTGTCTGTAACGTGCTCTCAAAACTGATGTGTCCATTGTATGAACCTATCATTATGTGCAAGACGTCTAGATTACAATCAATAAGGCAGAATTGCAAAGAATTCCAGCTTGCTGTATGAACCTGGTTAAAAAAAAAAAATCCTTTACCTTGTTTTACTCTTCAATGGAAGTGATCAAACTGCAATTGCAATTTATGTACATTCTGTATTCTTAATTTCCAGGCATGCCTTTATTTGACAGAGTATGAGAGAGCCCGAGAGTTTCTGGTAAGAGCTCAGAAAGAACAGCCCTTCAACCAAGATATTAACAATGAATTGAAAAAGCTGGCCAGGTGATAGAGCACTTACTTGACTGCTATATTTTTGTAACACATTAGCTGAATTGGAAACTCATTCACTTACCACTTAGATTCATGGTAATGGTTCAAATGTATTCCTTGTAGCTATTTAATCCTCAGTATTCTTCTAATGATTAAAGGTATATTGGACTGAATAAGTGAGCATACCAAATAGACAGAAATAGCATTAATTTGCTACAAAGTACAGGTGATCCTTAACTTGCAACCATAAGGGAGCTCGGAGTTGTAGTTGTAAGTTGTAGAAATTGTTTTAAAAAGGTCACTATGTAACCATGCCCGATTTTATGACCTTTTTGTGGTGGTTGTGAAGCAAACACTTTATTAGCAATGGACATTTTTGCTGGAAACCAGAAAAAAAAGCTGAAAATTATAGTCACAAAACAGGTCCTGCAAATGACCGTAAATGTGAACTGGTTGCTGAGCACCTAGAATGTGATCACATGACTGCAGAGAGATGTGTAGCCATCAGAACTTTGAATCCAGGTCATAAGCAGCTCTAGGGAGGTCCATCTTAATTTCAAATGGTCTTTAAGTGACCAGTTGTTAACTGAGGACTACTTGTAGGTTAAATCTCTTGAGATGGTGAAGCCCATTGAAACATTGATCAAATGCCAATAAAAAATCTGTTTCACTTATCCAGAATTTGGAAACACTGCTCTTAGGACTGTGGAGGCGAACCTGTGGCACGCAGAGCCCTCTCTGTGGGCACGCATGCCGTCGCCTTAGTCCTAGGCCTTCAGCTGGGTTTTATAAAACCTTTTTACTTTAGGCCTCTGCCGCCGTGTGCAAAAAAAAAAAAGGTTCAATCAATTAATCAATCAATTACAACTTCTTGCAGGAAAAAAAAAGATCTCGCAAAGTTGGAATTGATTGATTGAACTTTTTAGTCCCACCCACTCTGCTGTTACCACTGCAGCCATGCCCATCCAATGGGCCACACCCATCCAATGGGCCACGCCCACCCAGCACCCGATGATACATAAGTGGTTTTGGGTTGCAGTTTGGGCATTCGGTCTCTAAAAGGTTCGCCATCACTGTCTTAGGATATGGGAAAGTTCCCCCATCCCTCTGAAGTTCCTTGCTTGTTTCTTTAGATGATTTCCCGCTCTGTTCTTTGCTAAGTTCACTTGGTTTTTTCTGGATAACACAGCTGGAAAAATGCCTTTATTTGGACAGACTAAAATGCATTTTCCCCTTATGCTAGACAGGACACTTTAATACTAACTATCTTTATAGCCTTTCAGTAGAAGGCTAGAAGGAGAATTTCATTGGTTCTTTCAGCTAAAGGCTTTTGCAAACCTACTCACAAGAGAACAGGCACGGTTTTGGTTGGCTTTTAGCACAACTGGCTTCTTTGTTTAGCAAATATTTTGCTTCTGCTTTACAAACATTGAGAGTCTTCTGGAATTTCATGCTTAAAGGGTCATTTATCAAGTGGTCATTTTATTGGCCACTGGAAATGTATTAATACAGTTTAAATGATGCACAGCATATTCAGCTGTTAAATTGTTAAATTAATTTTAAGTGTTATAAAGATAATATAAATGAGAATAGAGCTATTAAATTTCATTAAATGATGTTCATTATATTCAGCTGGAGATCTCTGTTGTGGCTCTGATGAGTATTGCACTAAAATCAGTCTGATTTTAAGGCTCATTAAACTAAGTGCAAAACCCAGTTCTTGATGTTATTAGCCACACTCACACAATTCTCTAGTTCCAGAGTAAACAGTTGCATGTTTAGACTCTGTTTCAAAATGTCTGCTTTTTAAAAACAAACTGATGGCACTCCAGTGCTGAAACAATTTGCTTTAACTTGCAGCTGTTACAGAGATTACATGGTGAAAGAGAAGGAGATGTGCTGTAAGATGTTTGCCTCACTGAATTCTCATTCATCAAAAGGAAACTTGGAAGGTAATAGGATTGCTTGGAGAGTTGGAGGTATTGGTCTTTATGTGATTCTGGATTGCATCTTGAAAATTTACTCTCTCTTATGCATACAGACATCTGATTGTGCGTGACAATTGCATAGATCAGACAGTGCCTTGCTCCTTGAAAAGAGCATGCCATTCATTTATTCTGAAGTTAGTCAATGAACAGAATAGAATAGAAGCTGGAAGGGTCCTTGGAGGACTTCTAGTCCAGCCCCCCACTCAAGCAGGAGAACTTATACCATGTCAGGCAAGTGACTGTCCGGTCTCTTAAAAACCTCCAGTGATGGAGAGCCCACGATTTCTGGAGGCAAGCTGTTCCACTGGTTAATTGTCCTGTTCGGAACTTTCTCCTTAATTCCAGGTTGCTTCTCTCTTTGGTCAGTTTCCCACCATTGTTTCTTGTCCTGCCCTCTGGTGCTTTGGGGGATAGTTGGACGCCTTCTACTTTGTGGGAGCCCCTCAAATATTGGAATACTGCTATCATGTCACTCCTATTTCTTCTTTTTTTTAGATTAGCCAAACCCAAGTCCTGCAGCCGTTCTTCATATGTTTTAGTCTCCAGGCTTTGATCATCTTAGTTGCTCTTCTCTGAACTTTTTCCAAGGTCTCAACATCTTTTTTGGAATATGGTGACCAAAATTGGTTGCAGTGTTCCAGGTGTGGTTTCACTAGGGTTTTATAAAGCGGTACTAATACTTCATGTGATCTTGGTTCTATGCCTCTGTTTATGCAACCCAGGATTGTATTAGCTTTTTTGGCTGCTGCTGCTGCACACTGCTAGCTCACAGTCAAGTGATCATCCACTAGGACTCCAAGGTCCATCTCACAGTTGCTATATTTGAAACAGGTCTCACCTAATCTGTACTTAGACTTAAATGTTGCTTTGCTATCAAATCCCAATCACACCTACCTGTCATTCTGTTTAAATGGCTGAAGTGTTAATCACCCTTGCATAAGAATCAAAAAGTATTTTCATTTTTTATAGTTTCTTCAACTATCTGGGATAATTGGCAGCTGTCCATTCTTGCTAGATAGGAATATTAGCCATGGCTATTTCCATTGTTTACTATAACTAAATCCCACTATAGACTAAGCATGTAGACTAGGGTAGGCCTATTGGTCAGTCACTGACCTTAGTTTGAAAGTGTTGATTATTGTTTTTTAACTGTTTGTGACAGTTTAAGCAATAATTCTAACACCTAAATTCTCTATTTGGAATTTGCTAGTGAAAGTAGATTTGGAGAGAAGGCAAGGTAGCGCTAACCTTTTTTATTCAGAGGTTTGATATCTAAGTAAAGTAATGGTGTTTAGGATTTGAGCTTGACTCCTAGTAATTTTGTGAAAACCAGTTCATCTGTACTCTGGAGATTCTTTTTGGTTGTAATTGCTGGGTGGGAATGAACAAGATGAATTGATCAAATGATTCTCAGGACAGCTGCGGGGCTTCTTCCGTGCTTCTTTCTTTTTAATCAGTTAAGTGTAAAGAAGTCTTTAAATTTGAACCATTCGTATGAAATGACAAGATTTCAATACTGAACCTCAACATTGTTGTAGAGGTTTCTTATCTGCCTACAAGCACACATTTCAGAGATGAAAATTGGAAGGTCATACGCTGCAGCTTTTTTAAAAAAAAAATTGAAATGACAAATGCTACATGTGGTTTTATACCAAATATGCAACAATACATTTGGTTTGCATTTCTCAGATATTTTGAAAACCGGCATCCAGCTAAAGAATTGTGAACAAACTAGTGCTAAGTAGACTAAGGATAAATTGAACTGGATCTCAGGGACAAAACAACACAGTATTTGAGGGAAGACTGTAGTCCAGGGGTCTTCAAACGTGGCAACTTTAAGACTTGTGGACTCCAACTCCCAGAATTCCTTAGCCAGCCAGGGCTGGATGAGGAATTCTGGGAGTTGGAAGTCCACAAGTCTTAAATTTGCCACGTTTGAAGACCTGTGCTGTAGTCTTTTAAGTTTAAAAAGCAGTTTATTCAGGAACATGGAACGAAAACCATTTACTCTGTAAGAGAACACCCAACCTCTCCTGCCCATTTTTCCTTCTCACAGAATTTAAGGTACATATTTGCCTATTTAATAAGAGTTGAAAATGAAGCATGAAAACTGAGAAACCAGCCAAAAAGACTTCTGAATCTTCAATCCTCCCCATTATGTTACTCCTGAGATCTGCCACCTGGATGAGTGCACAAAAAAAAGTGTGCAAACCTTTTTTTTTCTCATGTGAAAGAAATTTGGACTGACAGTTATGCCTATAGAGGTGGGGTATGAACAGTCATTGCTGTTTGCTTGCTCTCTTTCTTGTGGTATAATATGGGATTAGCCATAAAGGGCACTTCATCTTTTCAGTTGTTACTAGCTCTATCTATAGGCAACTCAACTATTTGCTTACTCAACCTTCCTGGGAGTTGCAGAAGATGACTACAGTGAACATGTTTGCATATTCCTTTGCTTCTTTTCAGTGGATGGAATGGAAGCCATTTGTCTGAAGTGGTATAGGGTTTCCTGCCTGAGCAGAGGGTTGGACTAGATGACCTCCAATGTCCCTTCCAACATTATTATTATTATTAGCATCAGCATCAGCATTGATTTGTTGGGCTTTTTTGCCACCATCATGTATTTGGGAGGGAGTGATTTCCTTCATGACTAATTTTATCTGTCTAGTACTAGCATGACAGTAGGAAATGACAAAGGCGTTTGTTTATAAATGTAGATATAGGGATCAGTAAGAGAGCAGAAGTAGGAATAGTCTTCCGTGTAACTTGCGTGCTCATTTCCTAACCTAACCTTACACCCTTTCCCTGCTTGCGTGCATTGTTAGTACAGTACAGTATTAACTATACTATTCATTGTTTGATTGTCTCCCCTCATCCCGTTACTTGCCTTTCCTTCAAAATTAAAAGTTTAATTAGACCTTCAATGCACTGATTTAAAGACATGGGGTCGTGGTAACTTACTAATTTACAAAATTTCTGTTACATCATTATAAAATATTGTTTATAGTTTGACAAAAGTAATTCACAAATATTAAATCTTTATACTGTATACTGCTAATTTCAGAATCTGGCTGTGCAGAAGAAAGCTGAACTTAAAACAGAAGGAAAACCATTTCACTTTACTTTTTTTTTTAATATATGGAAGAGCTATACTTCATTTGAAATATTCAAAGTGGCGTGAATTGTATAGTTTTATATGCAAATAAGCACCAAGTTTGCATAAGGGATACCCTTATTAGTGACATTATGTTGAAAAGAAGACTCATTGTAAAAGGAACCCTGTCTCAATTGAAACATATTGATAACTGATTACTTGGAGAGAAATTTGTTTTCCCTGTAATTTCCTGCCCTATAGATTAGGTTCCTTAGGAGGATGTAAGTTTGAAACCATTATGTTTTATGATTGTTTGAGAATGCTCTTAAAGGGTGATATTCATGAGTTAGAAAAATAAAAATGGCTTGAAAGAAAGTTTCGGCATGTTTGGTGTCTATTTATTATCCAAATTCTTTTGGTGCAAATCATAGAAATACAAAGGTTCTTATTTTTGCCTTATGAAAACAATTTTAAGGGTTCTTGCCTAGGGCTTGAAATGGTATGTTAATAGGTGATTATTAACAGTTGTTGTTTATGGGTTGGATAGAGGGATACTGCTTATTACATGTTGTTTTTGTGAAGCTGCCTAGAATGGGAAATGTTAGAAATACAATACATAAATAAAATTTAATAGTATAACACCACAGATTGTTCTAGATATTCAAGCTTGGTGACTGACATGAACTCTTACATTAGTTGTGGTGGCACAGTGGTTAGAATGCAGTATTGCCGGCTAATTCTGCTGGCTGCCAACTGCCAGGAGTTCGGCAGTTCAAGTCTCATCGGCTTGAAGTTGACTCAGCCTTCCATCCTTCCGACCTGGGTAAAATGAGGAGCCAGATTATTGGGGGCAATTTGCTGACTCTGTAAACCACTCAGAGAGTGCTGTAAAGCACTGAAGCGGTATATAAGTCTAAGTGCTCTTGCTATTAATGCTGTTGCTACAGAATTCCTTTGGGTTGCACTGGCAAAATGCAATCATTTTAAAGTGTGTTTAAAAAGAACGGTGGATGGGCATTAATTACATAGACTTTGCCTTAAGCAGAATTATGGACATGTTATTGTAGTAAAAGCAGTGTAAAAATTGGTGGCAGCAGGTGGCAGCAAATCCCTTCCTAATTTGCCTTTACAATTATTTGCTTTAATATATATTCTCAAATGTATTCACTTCCACACATACTGGTTAAAATATACTGAATATATTTTATCTGTAAATATATCATTTAAACATGGTTGACTTAATCTGATTATTTAATGGCTTATTTTGAAGAACTACTTTCAATTTACAAAATACAGAACGCTGGACTCTGTCAAAATTAGTAAACTGATATGGGACTGAAATCCTCTCTGTACTTTAGAGGGGATTGATAGAAGGATGAATTTCCATGCATGATGGAAATATTATTCTTGGGACTAGACTTTCTATTTTATATATTTAGTTCAAAACGTCTAAAGACTAAAAACTTGAAATTTATCATCCTAAAATACTGCAATATGATACAGTGTAGTATTGTGTCATCCTAATCATGCGGTTTCTCAGCTTACTATCTATTGGACATATCTAGAAAATTTCTGGAAGTGTAATAAGTAGTTGTCCTTTCTCCAAGTAACCAAAAGTTTGATAACCTACGTACATTTTTTCCTGCCTTGAGCTCTTATCACCTCCCTAAAAATATCTCTAAAATTATGTCCATTAATTTTCCTTTGCTATTTTTATGCTTGGAATTTCCACTGAGAGCTTCTGAGACACGTTCTTCTCTTCTACTGTATTTTATTTATTAGATAGCTGCCCATCTGATGTACATGGCTGTGTATGGTTCATAGTAATTAAAAGCAATAAAACAAAAAATATATAAACTCAGCAAACATGCAACTATATTTAAAACTTCAATTTATCCAGCTCAAACAATATCTCTTACTTTGAAGTTTTTAAATCACACTTTAGTCCTCACCCCAATCAACATGCGCTTCAATTCTTATTTTATTCCCGCATGGAAGTTGCTTGGCTTTCTCCCACTTCATTAAAATTACATTTGTAACTTCTACAGAACAAATACCACATTTTTCTCTGGGTGAATTTACAGGGTTGTTGGAAGAATACGTCATGTATATGAAGTTTTTTTTAATGAGGCTAAGTTTGGGAAATTTAGATAGATTAAAGGGGCATGATGGCTCAGCGGTTAAAGACACTGAGCTTGTCAACCAGAAAGCTGACAGCTCGGGTTCAAGACCCAGCACTGTGTGACACAGTGAGCTCACGTTATTTGCCCCAGCTCCTGCCAATCGAGCAGTTCAAAAATATGCAAATGCAAGTAGATAAATAGGTACCACTTCAGTGGGAAGGTAACACCATTCTGTGCACCTTGGCATATAGTCATGCTGGCCACATGACCACAGATAACACTGGCTCCCTCAACTCCCTCAGAAATGGAGATGAGCACCACCCTCCAGAGCAGGGGTAGGCAACCTGGGCTCTTTTATGACTTGTGGACTTCAACTCCCAGAATTCCTGAGCCAGCCATGCTGAGGGGAAAGGGAGAGGTTTCCAAGCTGAGCCATGCTGGCTCAGGAATTCTGGGAGTTGAATTCCACGAGTCATAAAAGAGCCAAGGTTGCCTACCCCTGCCCTAGAGTCAGAGACGACTAGACAGGGGAAACCTTTTTTTTAAAGGAGAGATCAAAGAATTACTTTACTCAGTTCCGTTAGCTGTGGAATTGGCCATCAGAAAATACATCTTGAAGAAACTAATAGAGACGATCATAGAACAGCTTCATTAAACTATGAGCTGAAGAACTGGCAATATTTATTGATTTATTTTCTATCCTGCCTTTATTTTCACAAATAACTCAAGGTGGTGAACATATCCAATGCACCTTTCTTCTATTTCCCCCACAAAATAATCCTAGAAGATTGAGAGAAAGCAAATATTTCATCTCCAAAAGGGGGGGGGGAGTATTATCCAAGAAACTACAGAGCTGTTGCTTTGATCTCTATACTGGGCAAAGTTCTTAAACAGAATATAAAGGCAACAGGTTTGTGAGCCCTTGGGAAAGCATCCTGTTACAGGAGTTAGTGTGGGTTTGTTGCAAACAAATCATGCCAGATTTAACTTAGCTCCTTTGATAGGGTTATTAGCTTTTGGGAGATCAAGGGAAGGCTGCAGACATAATATATCTCAACAGAGCTTTGACAGAATATCTTCTATTCTTAACAAGAAGGTAAATATAGATTAAAAGATATTATTGTTAAAGGGACTCACAATTGGCAGTAGGACTACTCAAAATATTCATTAATGTCTCAACTTCAGCTTGGAGGAAAATATTGAGAGCAGTGAGTTGAAATGAAAAGGATGAAATTTCACAGCAAGGTAAAGTTCTGCATTTGGGAATGAATAAAAACAGGTGAAAACATAGAATGGGGGACATGTAAAAGAGATCTGAGTGGTTGACCACAAGGTAAACATCTGCTAGCAGTGTGGTGCAGATTTTAGAAGCAAGTGGTTTTTTCCCCCTCAATATGTGTGCTATTTTCCCTGAATCCAACTATTTGATGTGTATCCTATTACTGGGTGAGGAGGAAAGGTGGGAGGAAGGGGGGAGAAGGAACAAGAATTCAAGGCTGGTACTAATAAACAAGTTTTTATTTCCTTCAAAAGAAACTAACACAACGAAGTAAGAAAAAGTACAAGAGCAGAACAAAGGGAATGCTCATGAGATTCAGCAGAGATATCATGACCTCTATGCTGTATAAAAAAATAGATTATGATGTGAAAATGCTGAGATCCTCCCACAAAGCGGCTTTTGGAAATTTCAGCCTCCCTTTCATCTACTTGGCCAACTAAGAAAGGGTGATCTCCCTTTATTTTCTCTCTACTTTTCTTTATGGAATGAATTGTGTGTATATGAATAGGCATACATGTATACATGCTGCTGCCTTTGTGTAATCTTGACAGTCTTTTGACTTGTATTTAAAATCCTGTATATATTGTCACACTTAACAGACACATAAAATCCTGATCATAGAAAATAATGGCCCCATTCTGCTTTTTTTTAGTCTCCACTTGAAATATTACCAGCGGTTCTGGGCACTATTGTTCAGAAAGGACATTGACAAATAGGAGTGACCCTCACTTGACACACCCACACCTGACCCATCACAAGACCTACTGACTACCCGAAACCTTTATTAAACAGAAGAACATTGACACTGACATCCCCTAAACTCCGCTGAAGATGTTACCTAGCCTGGTAAGGAAACGTTCAGAAACCAAGCTCGGAGAACAGCCCCTCACCCTCAAATGAGTGAGTTTAGAAAGCAGAGAAGAACAACCAAGAAGATAAAGGATCTGGACACTGACTCATCCGATGAATGGTTGATGTAGTTAAATATGTCTGGCCTATCAGAGAAAGATTGGAGGGGGTATATAATAACTGTCTTTCCAGTACTTGTGGGATTGTCCCAGAGAAGAGAGGACTGACTTATTCGCCAAAGCACCAGAAGGCAGGTCTCTCTTGTTAAAGAGAGAACAAACCTAGAAGTAAGGAATTCTTTTTTCTGACAGAACAGTTAATGAAACGGCTTGCCTCCCAGAGTTGTGGGTGTTTCATCACTGGAGGTTTTCAAAAATAGACTGGACGGCCATTTGACTGGGATCATATAAGGTCTCCTGCCTTGAGCAGGGAGGGGGGGTGGATTAGGCGGCCTCCAAGGTCCCTTTCAGCCTTATGAATCTGTGTTCTAGAGGAGAGCTACTACAGCAAGATGATGAAGGCTCTAGAAATTAAATAATTTATTAATGAAATTACTAAAGAATGTGATATGCTTAATCTTCAGAGGAGGTGATTGAGAGGAAATAGGATAGCAATCCTCAACTCTGGGTTCACATAGAAGAAGGAATGAATGTACTTTAATGAAGAGAAGGACGAGGGCGGACATGATAGCAGTGTTCCAATATCTCAGGGGTTGCCACAAAGAAGAGGGAGTCAAGCTATTTTCCAAGGTGCCTGAAGGCAGGACAAGAAGCAACGGATGGAAATTAATCAAGAAGAGAAGCAACCTAGGACTAAGGAGAAACTTCCTGACAGTTAGAACAATTGACCAGTGGAACAACCTGCCTCCAGAAGCGGTGAATGCTCCAATACTGGAAGTTTCTATGAAGAGACTGGATAGCCATTTGTCCGAAATGGTATAGGGTTTCCTGCAGGGCTAGGTGAACTACTGGGAAATAGATTCAAGGTAAGTATCAGGAGGAATTTCCTGACAGCTGTCAAGCAGTGGAACAAGTTTCCTCAGGAAATGGGATGCTCCCTTGTACTGGTGGTCCTCAAGATGGTTGTGCTGGAATGGAATTTGCATGGAGTTGCTTTCTAAGGTG